GAAATTTATATTGAGTATAAACTTCGAACTGCGATTAATTTACAAGTTTTGGCTGATTTTAGTCCGGGAATGATGCGTTCAACTACAAAAGAATTAGTTCTAGTATCGGGGACTGCTTTTGGTGTGTGGACCTTATTTACGGATGGCGTGTCCAACATAAAAGGTTCCGCTCTTGGGATAGTATTAATCACTCCTTCGGGAGAAATCCTAAGACAGGATATTCGAACTGTTCTGTTGATTAATAATGAAGCTGAGTATGAGGTTATGATTGCAGGATTTAAATTAGCCCCGGGACTTGGTTCCGAGATGATCGAAGTAGGGCGCGACTCCTAGCTATTGGTAAATCAGATATATGAGATTTTTATGCAAAAGAAGATCGCGTGCAATAGTATCTGAATAAAGTTCAAATCTTTCTTTCCCGGTTTAAGGAGTAGTCATTAATCCATATTCCAATAGAGGAGAATGTGGAAGTGGATGCTTTGGCGAACTTAGGTACATCTATGGAGATGAAAGGCGCAGTTTTCAGTGCAGTTGTTCAATTGTTTCATTTGGTCCTAGATGTGGATGACTGTTGTGAAGTTAACTCAACAAAATAGTCTGCAATTGGAGAAATTAGTTTATAGAGTATTTACATCATGGTAAATTGTCTGATGACTCTAAAGCCTCTCGGGCATTATGAACAAAAGCTGCCCGGTATTGTCTTATTGATGAAAACTTATACCAGAGGTCTTTTAAGGGTCCTTTGGCTTGGTGCTTAGGGCTTACAGAAGCTGATTATTCCATGAGGGAAGTTTATGAAGGAGTTTGTGGCAATCATTCCGGTGCAAACTCTTTGGTGCTCAAAATAATGAGTGTCGGTTACTACTGGCCCCGAATGGAGCAAGATGCAAAGGTGTTTGTGCAAAAAATATGATAAATGCCAACGTCATGCTCAACTGGTACATCAGGCGGCAAAACTTTTGCATTCAGTGGTGTTACCATGGCCGTTCATGAAATGGGGAATGGATATAGTTGGCCGTTTGCCTCAAGGACCTGGACATGTAAAACTTCTTTTAGTTTTGACTGATATTTTAGTAAATGGGTTCAAGCATGTACGTTCAAGAATGTTGGAGAATGAGAAGTAATTGATTTCATCTGGGATCATATTATTTGCCGGTTTGGAGTATCAAAAGAAATTTCTTGTGATAACGGGACATAATTAATAGGTTCGAAGGTTACAAATTTCATAGAAGTATTAAAGATTCAAAAGATTACGTCTTCCCCGTATTATCCAAGTGCTAACGGCCAGGCAAAGTCAACTAACAAGGAGATAATTCAAAACCTCAAAAAGAAATTAGAGGATGCAAAAGGCAAGTGGCCTGAAGAGTTACCGGGAGTATTATGGGCGTACCGAACAACGACAAAGTCAAGCACATGAGAAACATTTTTTTCCCTTGTGAACGGTGCGGAAGCTTTGATTCCGGTGGAGATAGATGAACAAACCATGAGGTATTCCCGAGCAAACGAATAGGAGAATGATGAAGCAATGTTGATTAAGTTGGATTTGCTTAAGGATCGTCGAAACATGGCTTATGTAATAATGGTGGCAAAAAAGAAAATGATGGAAAGGTACAACAATCGTTGAGCAAATCTTTGTTATTTTAAAGTCAGAGACTTAGTCTTACGGAAAGTAACTCATAACACCTGGGAGGTCAATGCCTAAAAGTTGGGACCGACCTATGAAGGACCTTACTGAATTTCAGCTATAACCAGTAAAGGTCCATATCAACTGGAAAATCAAGATGGAGTAAAATTACCAAGAAACTGGAACGTGACTTACCCTAAAAGGTACTACTATTGAAGATCCTTGATTGTACTAAAAGTACGCGGTACACTCTTTTTTTGTTTATCCAATTTTTGTCCCAAATTGGTTTTTCTAGCAAGATTTTTAATAAGGCAGCAATATAAAAAACATACATAGAAAAAGGATTGTCGATGGCAACAAGAAGTACAATGTTCGAATTCTCATACTTTGCATCCATACACGGAGGGGGGGGGGGAAGACTACTATATATTAGAGCACTAAAAGTATCAATGCTAGCCTTAACAGGAAAAAGGAAAAATGATACCAGGGACTATTAGGACCGGGAACTATACCTTGAACTTAAATGTTCAGTTGTTATGAAAGACTTGAGTCAGGACCGAGGATTGTATTTCTAGTCCCGTAGAAATAAGAAGTAAAAATTAGCCATATGTATTGGCATTTTTATTTACTTAAGCGAATGCACAAATTTTTGGTTTATGTAAATGTACTTTTGAAAAAAGAAGAAATAAATAAAATTCCTTTCATTTTTATATCTTATTTCTTATCCAAATGACATGATTTTTCTTTCATTCGAATGTTACTTAAACTTTAAACATAAGTGCATGAACGTACATGAGATATCCTCTTCAAGAGTACTGTAAATGTAAGAGCTCTCTCTTATGAAACCTTCATAATTAAAGGATAAAAATTGGAAGTATGAATGGACATTACTAAAATTAACCAAATGTTAAATATTTCCAAGACTTTATCAATAGAAAAATAAAAGTTCAAAAAAGATATCTTTTATTTCAGAATATTGGACCCAATAGAGAGTCCAGGATAATTACAAAGGATAAACAATAAAGAACAGATGAACAACAAAAAATACATCAATATGCTATCAGTGGAGGTTGTAGGATGAGAAGTCTCCATTACATCTTTTGAAGATGAAGGTTGCTCAACATTTTCTCCTTTATTTTCATAATCACCTTCAATTTCTTCCTAAGTTTTTGAGGACTCAGAGCAAGTTCTCGAGGAACTTGAAGTAGTGGTCCGGATAGGAACGTTCTCGAAGGCAGTTGTTTCCAAGGAAAGAGCTTCAGCGATGCAGTCATCTATATTTGAAGTGTCATTTTTGGCATCCTCCAAGGTCTTCCTCCTTATGTGATAAACGAAATGGGTTTTCTCAAGCAAGAAAGTATCTTCTTGATCATGGAGTCCGGACTAGAGCTTTTACATTTTTGATTGCAATCGCTCGTTATCTACCTTCAAGATGTCATAAGCTCAAGAATGGTCGGTACTAGTTTTAGCATGTTCAGGGTTTTGCTTCATGACCTTCTGGAGTCTCTCCTCAATTCTCGAATTTAGAACGTAAGTTCGTTTCTAGGTTGTTAATTCTTTCCATAGAAGTAGATTCGCATTCGACTGCCAAAGCTATAACATCCTGCAACTCTGCCCCACTTGATCTTCAATTCTGCAAGCTCAGCATGTAACTGAATGGCCTCTTGACTATGAGCTATCTTTTCTTTCTCGATTTTTTCCAACTAGGCTTCAAGTTCACCCATGTGAGCAAGCTTGACTCTAGAGCCGGGAGGCACTCAGCAAGTTGATTTCGCTAAGCTCTAAGTGCTTCTTTATCCAAGATCATCTTTTATAATCCAACGGAGGCAAGAAGGTTAGCTTGTAAAGTCAAAAATTAAAATTATCAAATATGCTATTTATAACAAATATAAAGGGAGGAGAGAGAAGATAAAATGATACCCCGAATAGAAAGATAGATTATAAAATGATACATGAGCAACAAAATGTATGTCGTTGTTGATTAGACATTCAGCAGAGAGAGCATCCATTTTCCTCCAATCTTTATCCAAAGCCAGATGCTTCAAGTAGTCTGTTACCCCAGTCGGTTCAGAGATCAAGTGACATTTATTCGAAACATGAAAAAGTAACACTACATTTACCATTATTGTTCCGGATGGATGCCGAAAAGGCATTTTCTAGGTTTCCCTGATTGGGTGATCGGGGGAACGCACAACCTACTCTTATTCGGTGGGGACCAGTGAAAAGATAGGAACTGGTGATGGAAGAAGTTGGAAGAATATCAGAAGCGGAACTCTTTGACTGGAGGCAACAATCGGATCCCGAAAACGGGGTTCAACATTCTCAACCAACCGAACTCTTGAGAGACCTTCTATGTCCTCCGGTTGAGGTGTGATAGTTTTTTATTTTTCTTCTTCTCTGAAGAGAAACCATTTCATTATTATCCTCGGTTTCATCTTCATCAAGGACCACTGTTGCCGGTCCTTCCGGGATCTCTTCAGTGACTGGGGCTTGTCCTTGGCCTCAGTCTTTAAGATATAATTTCTTTTTTATTTTCCCCCTTGGGCTGGGGATTGAGGGAAGATATACCTTCGCCGGAGGCAAGAGCGCTATAATGAGCCCTCTTTCGATCAAGGTTCTCTTGCAGCCGTTGTTGTGCCACCTTCGGGTCATGTGAAATCTCGACGGTGGGACAGATAGAAGATCCCTTCATAAGGCCTATAATGTTGATATGAGAAGTCAATAATTAAATTTTGTATGGGGATACAAGTGAACAAAGGAAAGGGACAGTTTTTTCCTCACCATGGATCTTGCCCTTCTAGTTCTTCCTGATTGAAGTTTCCTTCCACATATGGGAACCCGGCGGGGGAAGTATCAACAATTTTTTGATCCCATTGGGCTAAGTTCTCAACTGCTTGAAGGACCCAAATGGTGGCTAGAATAGAAAGAAGAAAAAGTTTAATTAAGAAGGAAAATACCATCAAAATAGTAAAATAGAGATATTTGAGAAAGCTTACGAGTGTAGTTCTAAGCTTTGGGGATGAGAGATATAGATGCTAATAAAATATCCTCGGGAGAAACAACAACAAACACTACTAGAAATACAGCATTTTCCCATAGAAATTTCCCACGAAAAAATTGTTAGTGGCAATTCCCACCGAAACTCAATGGCAAAAGTGAAATTTATTTTTTAGGATAAATCAATAACGTTTCCCATCGACTATCCGTGGGAACGTTTTGGCAAAAAAATGTGCGTGAATTAGTTCCCTCTGATTCTGTGGGAAAAGTCCTTAAAAAAATAATTATATAAAACTAAAATCATTTCCCAGGGAAACCAGTGGGAAAATAAAAAAAATATTCTTAAATATTCCCGCAGATTCCCTCGTTTTTATTCCCTTTCCCCCCAAAATTTCCACTTTGTTTTGCACTTGCACTCACTTTCCCCAATTACCATCAACCCTAGCTATTCCTAAACGCTCAATAGACGCGACCAGAAAACCAAAAAAATTCTGCTTTCAATTTCTTTCGTGGTGGCTGCTTGATTAAGGTTTGAAACGGTAAGTTCCTTCCCCCTCTAATTTTATTTGTTTCTAGTTTAGGGTTTTGATTCTCTTGAAGCTTTGGTTAATGCTCTTAAAATAGGAGGTCGTACCTCAGGTCAACACTCCCTCAAAGTAAAAATTAGGGCTCAAAACCATGCGAAGTCATCACTGAATTCTCAAGAACACGAGCTTTCCATGTTGTATTGGAGTATAACCTTTTCAGTTTTCACGACAAATTTTAATTTCAATCTTTTAGTCGTGTATTTTGGTGGTTTATGGTTTAACTTGTGACGGGTATTTAGATTGGAGAATTTGAGGAAAAGGAAATCCCATGAGTGTTGATAGTTTTGTAGCCTAGCCTTTCACTTAGCTAGTTACTAGGTGATAGTCAACCCAAATAGAAAAGTTAGAACTATAATAGTTATCTCAGCAGGAAATCTTTTCCACTATAGTTTTGTAATTTGCTTTATTAGTTTGAGCCATAAATTAGTTTCTTCCAATTTTGTCTCACTCAAAAGCAAAACAGAGACCTATGCTTGGTCAAAGAAAAGTCCAGTAGCATCTGCCGTAGGCATGTGTGCGGTGGCATCTGCAGTATTTTGTGTTCTTCTTCAAATTGTTCTTTAACTGAAAGAATGTTGATTGTTGTTGAAGCATTGATGTTATTAGTCAAGACTAGTGTTTCGATTAGTGTTTTGTTTATGCCTGTGTATGATGAAATCTCATTTCCTAGTATTGAAAAGTATCTTGTCCGAATATTTCATTTTACTCAGGTATAAAGTATTTCACAACATGGAGGTTAGAGAGGAATATCTTGAATGAGTCAAAGCTATAAAGTTATGGTTTGAAATTTTTAATATCCTTCTCTATTAAGTAATTAATTATTAATTTCCAGGAGTAATGTTGAAGAAGTGGCACTTACTATCAGAGGCAAAAAAGAATAAGATCAACTACTTGATGGCTATGTCGGAGGAGGTTTCTATTATTTTCTTGTACCCTTTCATAAATGACAAGCTTATGCATTCTTTTTTCAGGAGATGTGCCTATAGCGTTTTTCAAATAGAAAACTAACATCTTTTAGATTGATAACTGATTGGTTGACATCTTGTAATGATTTTTTAGGCAGAAGAAAAGAAAGTGCCATCACTTCTCGTCTTGAAGTCCTAAAGGAAGAAAGACACGATTTCTTTGGTGTTGCATATATTGTTAATAAGGTATTATGCTGCGTGATTTGCGACCAATATTGTTTCTCATTCTGACACACCGTTGATTTACTTTGTTTTTGAAGTTTAAGTGTACGAATTTAATATTTTAGTCCATGTTTCTTGCTCTGATTTTACGATTTACTAATATGTTGCTCATACTGAATACAATGAAAGGATTATAAACCTAATTAAATAAGCTTAAAGACATTATATTGGAATATCTTTTTAGAATGTCTAAGTTTATATTGGAATATCTTTTTGAAATGTTTTTCAAATTCTTCTAAAAGTACATGAATGAGGGCGGGTTTGGGTTTGTTCACAGTAATCTAAAAATATAGCTTTTCCTTGAATTAATAAAAGAACGAAAAAAAAGAATAGTTACTAATATTTTTCAGAATTAAAGAGGAGAAATTAATGAGTTCATGGCTTATTTTATCAGGTGCTTGAATGTGTCTATCTGAGAATGATTTATCATTTGGGTTCGTCTTAACTTAACATTTCCATTTGATTTTCATTGTTTATAGGTGTTTGGTTCTTTAGTAGTTAAAGGTGATAGAATCTGATTGACCCTTTTGCTACTTTGAAATCATTGCACAATTCTTGATTTTCCTTCAACAGGTGATTCTTCCTCCTCTAGGTATGCTTGCTTTTGGGTTTCTATAGCTTTTTTACTCATGTTTTGTGTTAAAGTTGTAACATTTTATATTTATTTACTTTATTTCAACAACCATCACCCAAATACTTGCCTTCCTTTTTTTAGTTATCTAAGCTATAATTATGGGTTTATGTGTTTTGTCCTTGACAGAAAAACATAAGAAGTAAAAGATCATAAGAAAGCAATGGTAAACTTATTTTACATATCATCCAAATTGATTAGACAATGTTAAGGAAGACTTTGTTAAATGTAAAGATTTAGAACTTTTAAATATTTTGTTATTTCCACTGAAAGTAAAAGGGTAAAGGAATTGGGCATTTTATTTTGGTAGTTGTAACTAGTAGAATTGATGCATCAACTAAATCCATCCCTGCACATGCACTTATAATTCTGAGAATGCTCCTTTTTGGATTTATATTAATGCACCACTTGGAAGAACATGGAAGTATATTCTTGTAGATTTTATTTTGTTATTTCAAAAAAGTACTGTGAGCAGAAGACAATGGTGCTTATTAGCTGTCTTATGGGTATTAATTTTTACAAAAAAGATAGTGTAGTAATTTTTCCCCATTAGAAGTACTGATGCATTGTCTATATGCGAGTAAGTTTCATAAATTAGATATTTTTGAAACACATTAACATGATTAAGTCCAACCAGACTACTAAGCTTTTTATCTTTCCGTGTGTTTCACTTTAAAGTTTGAGAAATAAATATACTTACTTGCATAAATTTTCTTTAATAAAGTTTCCTTTTATAATAACTGTAATTTTTTTAAAGGATACTTTCAAACGAAGCTTAGAGGAGTTCATTCAAAGTCCGCCGATTGATGATCAAGGTAGGCTAATCCAACCATCCCAAGAGGAGATCATGGACATGTGGATTAAGGCAGCTGGTGGCGTGCATAAGAGGATAGTCTACGGCATTAGATCCGAGTTTGAATAGGAAAGTAGCGAAGATTATTGAGTTGTATCTTCAAGAAAGGGCTACAGGGGAGAAAAGGCAAAGTGGAGGGAGGAAGAAGATAGGCGAAGAGAGGAATAGGAAAGGCGAAGGGAGGAAGAAATAAGGCGAAAGGACGATGCATTAATTAAGACTTGTCACTAGTGATGTTAAAAGTCTCAAGTCTCAGATAAATTCCCTCTTAGCATCTTGTGCATTTCCCGTGCCCCGTTCTCTAGCATCTGATTATAACTAAGGAGTAATTTCTTTTATTAGTTTGTCTTGGATGGTACCTGGATGTTGAACATTGAATGTTGGATTTTTTGAGTTTTTGTTCTACTTTCTGTTTAGTTGGATATTGATTATGAAATGGATGAATTAGGTGTTTTTTATGAAATGGATGAATTAGGTGTTTTTTATGAAATGAATTGAATTGCATGTTTAATTTGGTATTTGAATGCTTAATTGTATTTAGTCTTGTATTGTTGGTTGTACTTTTTGTTTGGCAGGTGGTGTAGTTCTAAAAATAGATTTGGCCATGAAAATAATTTTCAGATTTCCCACCGACTTCTTGGGTATTTTGTGCATATTTGTTATGAATATTTTCCACAGCTTCCATGGGTAAAATAAAAAAAATATCTAAATTATTTTTAATACTTCCCACAGATTCGGTGGGAAACTTAAGAAAATTAAAACATTATATTTTCTTACTTTTCCCACGACATTTGTGGGAAAATACATTAGGTGACCCCACTAAGTTCTCGTGAAACCCTCAGTGGCAAACTCCTTGGGAATTACCCACGAATGTCTTGGGAAGTTATTTTCCCACTAGCCATTTTCCCACTAAGCGTATCCCTTGGGAATGTCGTGGGATATTGAAATTTCACACAGATTTTCGATCGATTCTTCTGTGGGAAAAATCTGTATTTCTAGTAGTGAAACCTCTCCATCCGACAATGATCGTTGTCATTATGTACACGAGTGACGATGGCATGGTGACCGCGTTTGCTATGTTTGATCACGCTTCTACGGAAAATTTTAAGGGCGTAGAAATTGATCATATGTGCAAGAGTAAAGTTTTCTTGAGCAAGGGAATAGGGGTATCGAATGCAAACCACCATGCGCCATATTACTGGTCTCACTTGAGCCAAACAAACATGGTAGTTCCGGCAAAACTAAAAGATGAGTGGATCTATTTCCTTACCAAATCTTAAAGTAAAAGGGTATGTGTAGACGTAAATATACCCAGTTCTATTGAATATAATCCACCCCACTTTACGATGGGCTAAAACCTTAATGTTCATCCAGTCACAATCCTCTTTTACAACAGGAATACTGGCCGAGCAGATAGAAGAAGGATATCACCAACAACTCTGTTTCTGTCGTTATAAGGATCAGAAGATTCCTTTTGGACATGAAGTTCCTTTTCAAAAGATAACTGAGAAGTGATGATTGTATTTGTAGAGGGAGGTCAGGCATCGGGTTTCTTAGACTTGTTCTTCTTGGATGGGCCGCCGCCGATGCAAGTCCAGTGCCTGTGGATGAAGAAGTTAAAATAGTGTTATGTTTAGTGGTAGAAGTTGTATTACCGGAAGAAGAAATAACAGAAGACATGGTTATGAAAAGTATAAATTTATAAATTTTACTGAGAAAAGGGGAGTTGCAAGAGAGCTTTAGGAAGGCTCGGGGAAGAAAGCTTGTAAAAATGAAAAATGAAAGTGGTGAAAAATGGTGAATCCTATAGGCAGCACAATGCAAGGCCATCATTACATAGGTAACTGGCGAAAACACCTGTCGAATCACAGGTCAACATATGTTCGGCTCATTAAATGTATAGAAACGTGTATCCTTTCAAGTGTCAGAAACTGTTCAAGAACTTTCCCACCAAGAAAAGAGAAGGTCTTATCTACTTCCTGGTCACACCAAGTTGAGTCATCGGAAAGTACGAGAACTATATGTATTGGGTAAACTAATAGATGATAGGTGGATGTTCTTTGGGTGGACAAGTGACAGTAAAGACAGGCAGGAGATGAGTCAGCAAGTAGCTGACATCCGGTACAAACATGTGACCGATGTTGTATAAGCTCGAAAGGCATCAAAACTAGGTACCGGTTGAAGAAGACATCATTAAATGAGCAGTCGTTATAGAGAATTAATTATAGTATTTACTCTCAATAGTTATGCAGCTATCAAGAGGGGTCTTTATTCACCGTAAAGAAGAGAATTATTTTCGGGATCTTGTCTCCCCTAATTTACTTATAAATAGAGAAATTTGTACTCATTGTAGGACACGAAATACTTGTATGAAAAAAGGCTAATATTATTCTCTTATTATGCAAAAAACTCTATTATGTTAATATTAAGTTTTGGGCGTTGTTCTTTTCTCCGGAGAGATCAACTCAAAGCTGAGGCTTGTTTTCTCTTCAACTATTCTTATTTTGTCGCTTTGTTCTTTATTATTTTTTTACCGGATCAATTTAATCCGCGTGTCTATAAACCACACTACAAATTCAACTGTATTGTTTTACATATAAAGACTTTTAAAGTTTTTTACCATTGAACTCATTGTATTTCTATAATTATGAGTTCTATCTACTACTCTCTCTATTTCAGTTTAGATGTCACACTTTTCTTATTAGTCCGTTTCAAAAAGAATGACAGATTTCTACAATTGAAAATAATTCAACTTTTAAACTCTTTATTTTACCCATTTTACCCTCAATGAGAATTTTTTATAACCACACAAATATCATGGTCCCACAAAACTTTTACCCCTTAAGCTTTTAAGACCACAAGTTTCAAAAGTCTTTTTTTTCTTAAACTTCATGTCGAGTCAAACTACCTCATCTAAATTGAAACGAAGGAAGTAGAACCCGGTGTCAGAAGACTAAATTACTTGTCATCAACGGTTTCACGTCGAAATAAAACATAACAATGAAGTCTAAGGGCTATGGAGAAGAATGGCAACGCAAGCTAAAGGGAAAATAAGTATAGCAGCCTTGGTATACTACATTTGGAAAGCTAGACTAGAAATGAAGCACTATGAATGCAGCAGGTTACACGACTAGAGATTATATGCAGTCAAATAAAGCAAGAGTGCAAGTATAAAGTATGTGAGGCTTGAGGCGAAGAAACAAAGATGTAGAGAAAAGAGATGGATTGAGGAATTGTACATACAGAATTATACAGATAGAAGATACAAAACATATAGACAGGCAGAATGGATTAGTTATTTGTTTGAGTTGAGGTGTAGGTGTTAGTGTTCTTTGTTTGACTAGAGGAGTCTTAAAGTGTAGGTTGTTCATGGTGATTAATAAAAAAAAAATCTTTTTCTTTTCAAAAAAAATTCACACGTAACAATCACATGTTTTTAAAAGTTTTATTTTTGGCAAAATATTATTAAAATAAACAGATTTAGAAGTACGATCAAAATGAAACCTTAGTAGATAAGTATTGTTCTCACAATGTATTTAGAACAAGTTAATGGCGGTTGAATGCTGATCACCATTGGGCACCGGTCCATCTCGGCGTCTTTAAGACTACCAACTTCATTTATCCCGTGTAAGTACAAGTATTTAATTAATAAGTTTAAGCAATATATTCTGTCAGTTTAAAAAATTCTTAACATGTGAATTTATAATTTTATACTAAGTTTAAGCAATATATTCTGTCAGTTTAAAAAATTCTTAACATGTGAATTTATAATTTTATACTAAGTTTAAGCAATATATTCTGTCAGTTTAAAAAATTCTTAACATGTGAATTTATAATTTTAAAATAAGATAAGTTACTTGCTACAACAGCTAAAAATAATATGATAGGTATAAAAAAAATTTTATACTAAAAGTCCATATAACTTAAACTCTTAATTATTTAACGCTCCTGACTCTTTTGGAACCCACTAGTCACTGGAAAAGGATTTATTGGGCAGCTTTGACAAAAACACATAACCTCCATTATTGACTTGATTGTAGAAACTACATAAGATGACAAACCATACGGGAATTAGGTGGCCATAAACAATTTTTCAAAAAAAGAAAGAAGAGAAATTGCCAATGTTTGGATAAAATTACTCAACCATAATGTACTTTTATTTTTAATTTGAACGAATTTGAAGAATAAATTCTGAAAATTTCTCTGTGTATTATCACTTTCATGTACATATATATATACACACACACACTTGCTAAGGAATAAAAGAATGAGCACAAAAAGAAAAATCTGTATACTTGTCCTATTCTAACTTGCCTACTGATAACTAACTTATATTCCCTCACATGACATTCACGTGAGGGAAGCTTCTAGTACTATTACTATCAGATAGTCTTTATCTAATCAATCATGAATTTAGCTTGCTTGATCCAAAGGCCTTGCCTTCTCCACGTGTCCATCCAAAGTCGACCAAATATAACCTATTGACTTAGGTTATTTCGAACACTTTGGTCTGAAACCATCTCTGTTAGGTCTTCTTCTTTTTCATCTCATCTTCTTCTCTATCTATAGATGAACTACCATGAAAATCAAAAGTATGAGGGGGCCTTTTCTTCTCAACATCCCACCTCAAGTTAGAGGGGAACTTAGTGACCCCTAACTTGCCCAAAATCTCTCGATGAGAAACCCCAAAAAGAGGCTTCGTAAAGATGTCTGCAAGCTGTGCTTTAGAAGGAAGGAAAGAAAGAGTAATTAACCTTGAAACAAATTGTTGACGCACAAAATGACAGTCAATTTCGACATGTTTTGTGCGTTCATGAAAGACAAGGTTTCGGGTGATGTGAATCGCTGCCTTACTATCAGAATGAAGAGAAATTGGTAGAGTGACTGGTGCAAATAGATCCTCAAGAATTCGTACCAACCAGGTAAGCTCTGCAGTGACCCTTCTCATAGACCTATATTCTGCTTCTGCAGAGGACAAAGAAATTGAAATCTGCTTCTTTGATTTCCAGGAGATGGGAGCTCCTCCTAGAGTGATAAAGAAACTACTAACGGACCTTCTTGAATCCCTGCAGGAAGCCCAGTCAACATCACAGAATGCGAGCAAGGAGAAAGATGCCTCAGCTGACAGTAGAATGCCTTGTCCTAGATCAGAGCTGAGGTATTTAAGAACTCGTAAAGCAGTAGAGAAATGAGACACACATGGCTTCTGCATGTATTGACTTAGGGTGAGTACAACAAAAGAAAGATGTGGTCTAGTATTTGTTAAATAATTTAGCTTTCCGACTAGATGACGAAATATAGTTGGGTCTTGCAGATATTCTCCATCATCAGCCTAAAGCTTGAGGGCAGGATCCAAAGGAGAACTGACTCGAGGAAAATGAGACACATCAAATTCCTGCAACATGTCTAAGGTGAATTTCCTTGACTCACAATAAATCCTGCTTATTCTCTCAAAATTTCCATACCTAGAAAGTAGTGTATACTTCCCAAATTCTTGACTTTAAACTCAGTATTCAGAAAATCTTTTATGCCTTGAATTTTTGCTAAGTCATCTCCTGTGATTAGTATGTCGTCAACATAGACAGCTAAGAAAGAGACAAGGCCTCCTGTGCGTTTAAAGAACAAAGAATAGTCATTCATTGATGAAGAATATCCTTTAAAGCTTAGAGCTCTTGGTAGCCTAGCATACCACTGCCTAGACGCTTACTTTAAACCATATAGTGACTTCTTCAAAAGACCAACATGTTTAGGACTAGGAGGATCCAAACCTGCTGGAAATCTCATATATACCTCTTTTTGCAAATCTCCATGCAAGAATGCATTGTTCACATCTAGCTGAGAAACATTCCAATCTTTCATGGCTGCAACAGTGAGTAGACACCTTATGGTTGTCATCTTCGCCACTAGTAAAAAAGTCTCACTGTAATCTATTCCTTTTCTTTGAATATCCCCCTGACCACTAACCTTGCGTTCAACCTTTCAACTCTTCCATCTGATAAGTGCTTTACCTTGTACACCCATTTATAAGGTAAATCTCTTTTCCCTTTAGGTAATTCAACCACATCCCACGTGTGGTTGTCTTCTAGAGCTTTAATTTCTGCATTCATAGCTTTTATCCATTCTGGATGTTGACAAGCATGGCTAAAAGTAGAAGGTTCTGTAAGGGTAGAAAGGGATTGCATTACATGTTGGTTATTAGGTGAGAGAGATGAAAAACAGTACTCAGTAGGTTGACAGGGTTGAGTAAAACAGGCTGTGGCTAAATCTGTGAACAACATGTTGTTACACACAAAATCTTTCAGGTAGATTGGTTGTGTAGAAACTCTTCCTGGTCTCCTCAATGGCATAGGTTCTTTAGGTGCAGAAGAAAGTGTCCTGGTATGTGAGGACTCTAGGCTAGGAGAGATTGGAGTTGGTGATTGTGGAGAAATTGAATGGTGATGAGAAATGTGAGGGGGACTTGGTGATTGTGGCAAAACAATATCTACTGCATCATATTCTAAAGGAGTAGGTTGTGTTTCATCTTGGAATATAGTTGAATAGGTAGGTTCTGTGGTGAAAAAATGAAGTTGGAAAAATGGGATGGTGTGATGTATTTTTTTCTGTAAAGGGAAAATGTGATGCATGAAATTTCACATCCCTAGACACAAATACTTTCCTGTGGACAGCTCCAGAAGTTTGTATCCTTTCTGTTGAAGAGGGTAATCAAGTAAAACACAAGCTGTTGCCCTCTCATCAAACTTTCCTCTTCCTTGTTTCAAAGTAGAGGCATATCATAGACATCCAAAATTCCTTAAATAATCATACTTAGGTTTGTGATGAAATAGGACCTCATATGGTGTGTTTCCTTGAAGAGCCCTAGAAGGCAACCTATTAACAGTGTGTGTGGCAATCAGAATAGATTCACCCCAATATGACATAGGCAGCCTGGATTGAAACATTAGACGTCTAGCAATTTCTAAGTGATGTCTAAGTTTCCTCTCAACAATCTCATTTTGTTGAGGTGTTTCTACACAAGACACTTGGTGCACAATTCCTTCTGAAGCAAGAAAAGCTGCTTCTTGTGTCCCTTTCCCCAATTCTAGAGCATTATTAGACCTTATCATTTTCACCTTTGCATTGAACTATCTTTCAACCATGGACAAGAAAGATTTGAGCATGGGAAATACATTGCTCTTAGAAGATAGCAAAAATGTCCATGTTCCTCTACTATAGTCATCTACTATAGTAAGAAAAAATCTAAACCCATTATAGGTATTAGACTTGTAAGGCCCCCATGTATCGATATGTATGAGATCAAAAATATTTCTAGATTTAATGGTGCTGACAGGGAAAAGTTTTCTTGTCTACCTAGACTTAGGACAAACATCACAAATAAAATCAGAGTTTGAGTCACAATGAAGAAAATCTAAATGTTTCATTGCTGAAAATGGGAGATGTCCCAACCTTACCTGCCAAAGTTTAACATCAGGGATAGCACTAACATGAACAGGACTAGAAAAAGACATAGACTCTAAAATGGAATTTCTTCCTTTTTGAATTGAAGATACATTACTACTAAATAGACCCTTAGACTTAAGATTACTAGGTTCCAATATGTAGAGTCCCTCTCTAACTTCACCAAAAGCTTGTGGACTCTTTATTGAAAGGCCCTGCAACAAATACCCAATAGATGTGAATAAGACATCATATTTGAACTGAATGCGAAACCTATGTACTGACGATAGGTTGTATTTGAAATTTGAAATATGTAAGACAGTGTTTAAGACATGACCTGGCAGGATAGAAACACTTTATATATGAGTAACAATTACCTTGAAGGAATTAGATAAATTGATGTTCCAAGACACAGGAAGTGGAGTTAGAAATAAGAAAGAATTGGGATCAAAACACATGCTCTAAAGCACCTGAATCAATGATCTAGGTGTCAGAATTTAGAGTGATAAACACTGAACCTGAGTATTTTAGAATAGTACCAGCAACTGCATTAGCATTGATTCATAAATTTCTTGTTTGTGCCAACTTTGCCTGCTTATACATGTTCACCATTTCTGCAAGCTGTTCCTTATTAAGTTGTTGCCCAAAATTGTTGTTGTTTTCAGTATTCTATCCTGTTTGATTTTCATTGTCTTCATGTGTCAGAACTGCATTTGCCTTGATCTGATTTTGATAGTTCTTTTGATTGGTAAACTCAAAATCATCTTGAAATTCAATGATTTTGTAGTATCTTCTTGAGTATGCCATGTTTTTCCACAATAAGTACAAGATACATTTGGATTGTACCTCTTCTTTGCCTTAAACTTTTGTTGTGGTTTGGTGAACTTCTGTCCTGAACTATTATATTTTGTTTCCACTGTTGTTGCTCTTTGTGCTTGGTTCCTCTTTTTCTGAAAGTTTCTCCCCTGCCATGTCACCATAAAAGCTGTAAAATCAGCTAAAAGCTGCGCATTAGATTGTTTCACTTCTCCTGCTGCCATAAATGACAATGAATCTGAGTTGAAATGTGCGTTTGCATAAACTTCTATTTGATTTTCATCTTGCAAGAGAAGAGAATATGCAACATCTATGCTAGGCAAAGGATTCATCATGAGTATGTTTCCTCTTGCTTGTGCATAGATGTCATTCAATCCCATTAGGAGTTGAATCAACCTCTGATCTTCAAGTGACTTTGTTAATTTTGCTTTTCCTTCGCAAGTACAGACACACGAACAACATATGACAACATTTAAAGCATCCAATTCATCCCACAATCATTTGAGTTTAGTGAAGTATCCTGCAATATCACTATTTCTCTACACTAATCCTGACAGCTCTTTTTGCAAATGATATAGCTTGGATCCATTTGATTTTCCAAACCTCTGCTCCAAGCTATCCCAAAGCTCCTTCGTAGTTTTGGAGTATATCACATTGTCTGCAATATCCTTACAAAGGGTATTCAGAATCCAGGAAATCACCATGTCATTGACACAGCTCCACATGATCTGGGGAACTCAGATCTGGAGATTTGCATGCTCCATTGATAAACCCAAGTTTCTTCTTAGCTGATAGAGACAACAAAATGGACCTCCCCCATCCTGGATATCCTCTTTCATCAAACAAGGTGTTGACTAGAGTCATCCCAGGAGAATCAGAATTGTTGAGATAATATGGGTGATTGGTGAAGATGAGTTGATGTAGAAGATGAGATGATGCAAATAGTCTAGATAAGTGAACTGTTGGATCGAGCTAGGTGCTCTGATACCATGAACGAATTTGAAGAATGAATTCTGAAAATTTCTCTTTTTATTATCACTTTCATGTACATGTATATATATACACTTGCTAAGGAATAAAAGAATGAGCACAAAAAGAAAAATCTGTATACTTGTCCTATTCTAACTTGCCCACTGATAACTAACTTATATTCTCTCACATGACATTCACGTGAGGGAAGCTTCTAGTACTATTACTATTAGATGGTCTTTATCTAATCAATCATGAATTTAGCTTGCTTGATCCAAAGGTCTTGCCTTCTCCACGTGTCCATCCAAAGTCAACCAAATATAACTTATTGACTTAGCTTATATCGAACACTTTTGGTATGAAACAATCTCTGTTAGGTCTGCTTCTTCTTCATCTCATCTTCTTCTCTATCTATAGATGAACCACCATGAAAATCAGAAGTATGAGGGGGCTTTTTCTTCTCAACATAATTAGGTAAAAAAAAAAAAGTAGCTTCTTTCAAAATGTAAAATATTGTACCATTTCCTAGTCTCTGTACGCTTTGCAAAATTCTGACCACCATGGTTAATAAGTTTCTATTTGTTTTATTCTTCTATTAGACCACTTCGGTTATAATATATATATATATATATATATATATATATATATATATATATATACACACACACCATCGGCAAACTCTTTTCATTCCATTTAGTTTCTGCTTTTATAAGTCAAGATTATTATAATAAAAATGTAAGATGTTTAATATTTGGGGGAAAACATACGAGATCATATTCGAAAGTTTTAAGGTTAAAGGAAACTGGACAGTTTGTAACAATAAAATAAAAGGACACACATTTAAGGACAGAAGAAGTAATTTTTTGTCATGCTTCTATAAATCAAATAATTACCTATATCATATCCAAAAATTCAGAATTTCAATAAATCATTACCCCCTATTTTCCACGTGGAAGTGCCTTTTGTTATCCAATATAATAGTACCTAAATCATTTTGCACAGTAAAATAGTACGTAAATAATTTTGGGTCACTTTTCACATTGGCCATCATATTAGACCGCAGAACTTGGACTATGCCTTATTTTCTTACTAGACTATTCTTTTTTAATATTTCTTCAATATATTTTCCTGCCAAGCGGCTTCAGTACTATAACTCACTTGGAAGACTATGTATATATAGTAGCCTGACCTTTGCTGTTATGCAAATCATTTTCTTACTCT